TGATGGTAAGCAATCGGCGTACAAACGCGCAACACCAAAGGAGTTACGAATGATTTGCCGGCCCTTTATGGATAGGGGTCGTGGATATAGGGATCGGGAAGGGATAGGGGAAGGGGCTGGATTGGGCCTCCGGTAACCTCAATCACACGGCGAAAAACACAACGCTGTGTTTGTTTCACGGCTGTGTTCTGTGACGCCGTGGTATCACTCCGGTCGAGTCGACCCATTAGTGCCGAAGCTTGGCTCTCACACACTTACCTTCAAACGAAAGGGCCCGATGCAGCACGCTCATATAAAACCCTAAACCTTTGTCACAAAATTCTTGTGGGACATAAATTGCTCATTTAAATTTGTTCCTAAAATATAGCACATATTGGTAAATATGGTTGTTCAGATACTGTGAAGATGAACTTTCTGAACAAATTGTACACATGAACGAGTAGTTGCACTATCAGCTAAACGACCAAAGGGGCAATCCAAAGCCCAAACACATGGCCCAACTTCGCAATACACAAAGCAATCACACAAACAATATCATAAAATATAATAATAGTGTTTTATCGGGATGTTTATTAGTAGTTTTATTTGGTAAGTAAAAGGAAGGGAGCGGCCTTGGTTTGATAGCTAATAGTTCGGTTAATAGATATAATTGATATATCCCGTAACTATTCCACTTAACTGCCTGCTGCCGTCATAAATGGTACAGATCGTATGTCTATCTATTTATATAAATACAAACATTAATAATACTTTTTCCGTTACTGATGACTGACTGAATTTTGCAGCGTCAGAAATGGCGAATCACATCACCAGCCCACTGGTGAAGGCCTCTTCCCACAAGGAGAAGCAAGTCAATTCTATAAAATTTGTTTTGTTGTAAAACTTGTTCGAGTGTGGAGTGAGCGTCGAAGTGTCGGGGAAATTACATTATAGAATCCCACTTCTAACGTCATCTCATACTTTATCTATCAAAATGTTGCGGTCAATTTAGTTCATCTCGCACGTGTAGCGCTAGTGTATTCAGATTCAAAGTTTAGAATGAAGTCTTACAGAATCACACTGAAGGTTTCAACATTAATCACCACGCTTACTCAAGGCAGATTGGCGATTTCAAACTTATAATTTGAAATTATAAGTCCAGGTATTCTCACGATGTTTTCCGTTGTATTCACCGTTTGTCAGATGGCGAATGCTGCTCACTGTTACGGGACCCGGCGCGACTCGAATTCAGTCGAGTAACTTTGTCGAGTAGATTGATATGTAAAAATATGATACCATTGTATTATAATTAAAACGGCAATAAAAACAGCTGTAAAGGACTAAAGATGACACGTTAAATGCCTGTTTGACCTTGAATATTCGTAGAAAATGTATTGTTAAGTCTTGTCCTAATTAATGGCCACCGCCATAAGGCAACGTGTATCACATGCATAAACATTTAAAATAATAAAATAAACACTGACTCGACTTGGTTTTACGGTTTTATTAAATTCGCATCAATTTTGTCTTTATCATATTTGGAATTAATCAATATTCTTGTGTGTCCTCGTATCCTTCGGGATGAATGGGCCGGCTCTATCGGAGTGGTACCACGGCCTCGTGTAATATCGGCGTGAAACACTGTTCGCGGTGTGAGTGAGGCAACCAATCCAATTCTCCAGCCTTTTAACTTATCAATGCAGAAAAATGTATAAGTAATTATTACATGTCATACGATTTTATGATATACTTTTTTTTTCTGATTTGTGTATATCCTTTTTTTTAGATCTTTAATAAACAATAAAAAATAAAATAAAATGAAAAAATTAAAAACTAAAATAAATATATATAATATTTGGTTAGTAAAAATCAACATGCATTCTGATGAACGCAAAAAAGTCAACCGGGGTTGCGGGTGGAATGCAATATCATCATCATCATCAGCCTAATAAGTGCCCACTGCTGAGCAAAGACTTCTTCTCATACGGATAAGGTTAGAGCATTAATCACCACACTTCCTCAATGCGGGTTGGCGATTTCAAACTTACAATTAGAAATTATAAGTCCAGTTTTCCTCACGATGTTTTCTTCCCCGTATGTCAGTGGTGTCTAAATAATCATAGGACGCAATATATGCGGTGGTTTTAGTCAGTAAGAGTCTGACATGCCTTCAGGACGGACGAAGAAGTCTACAAAACTAAAGAAAACTATCGCAATCGACAAACTTGTCGTATTTTTTCAATTGTAAAAAAGTAGGTATTGGACTTATTGACAAAAATGTATTGAATTGTCTCCAAAAATATTATCAAAGATGTTATATCATAATCAATTAAGAAGGACACACAGTTACATCAACGGGTTTCTTAAATTCCGAAAAAGAAATCCCAATCTCAGGAATATTTTTAAAATTGTAGGATACCTGTGGAAAACATACTAGACATAACATACCACGGCCCCGACTTGGAACAGGAGAAGGCACGGTTTGGTTTTTAGTCAGTTACAGAAACTTCCTCTAAGGCATCATTTGATGACTTTCAACCATCCAAAACAAACTGGCGGCTAAATTCAATGGGTACATCTATACTAGTCTAAGTATACTTATACTGATACTAATATTATAAAGAGGTAAAATTTGTAAGTTTGTATATCTTTGGAACCCTTGGTCGGATTGCCAAAATTCTTTCATTGATAGATATGTAGCTACAATGTTTGTGACTGCTAGAGGCTATAAAACATTACGCTACGATCAAATGGAGCTGAGCAGAGGCTGAAACCGCGCGAGAGCAAAATCTGTTAAATGATAATAACATTTTATCATAAGTAATGAACATGCTGTGTAAAAATTGCCATTGATAATAATTATACAATACAATATTAATTGTATCAATTTCGTAATTAATACGATTAATGTATTGACCATAACACATGCATTCGGAAAGTAATGATTCCAGATTAATTAATAATTACATACAATGTTGATTGCATGGTTGGCGCGCTGGCTGGGCAACCGACTGCCGCGCAGCGTGTTGCGGGTTTGATTCTCGCACGGAACAACTCTTTGTGTGATTTACAAATTGTTGTACCGGGTCTGGATGTGATATATGTGTATGTGAAATTGTATGTTTGTAAACGCACCCAAGACATAGGAGAAAATTCTAGTAGGGGATAACGTACACGTATCAAAAAATTATTTCTTCTTGGTTGAAATTATAATAGTCTAAACTTTAAAAGGCTGCAATTCCTGAACTATTTATGAGACTGGACTCCTGGACTATTATACTCCCCTACCTAAAAAACTTTGATTAAACTGTTTTTTTTAAACTCTGCCCCTCACTAGGATTTTCTTCTATGTCTTGGGTGCGTTTACAAACATACAAAAGACATCCAGACCAGAAACAACAAAGTGTTGTTCCGTGCGGGAAGCGAACCCGTGACACGTTGCACGGCAGCTTGTTGCTTAGCTACTGCGCCAACGCAACGAACCCACGACCGTGTAGTCAACAAACATTTAAACTGGATTATATGTATGAATCTATCTTATCGACATGTGTATCTTGCTTGTCCTAACTTACGGTGCGCAAACTTGGTCTCTCACCGATTGTCACAAGTCCAGGCTCAGGGTTTGCCAAAGGGCATTGGAACGTAGCCTGTTAGGCATAAAACGGACCGATTGCACACGGAATACCGTGATACGTTCCAGAAAAGGAGTCGCTGATGTAGGCCAAAAGGTGGCAAAATTAAAATGGGACTAAGCAGGTCATATCAGCCGAATGCATCTGGAGAGGCGGGCCACTATTGTCACCCAGTGAACCTGAACACCTCAGGATGGAGGCCGCAGGTGGGGTAGGCCCCGGAAAAAATGGCGTGATGATCTAAACGCGTATCGCAGAGACTGAAGGACATGGAAATCGTCATGGTGGCAGTGGAACATTACAGGCTATTAATAAAGTATATATGTATCTATAGCGCAAAATTCATCCTCATATAGAAATATATGAAAAAAGAGCACGAAACTTTATTCACTCCCATAAATCAACTGAGGAAAATATTTCCCAAAACATGAGTACCAGAGTATTAATTTTATCAACAGCTAACAGTTTTTCGTGTAATTTTATCAGTTGTGCCTGTGATGTAAACTTGTAATTAATTTAGGAGTAGGTTGTATGACATGACATACTTTATCTACATTACAATCTAATGGTGCATGAAATTCAATATAAAACCTTTATCGTGTTTTGTTAAGGTATTTTTACATTAAGCCGAGGGAAAAATGCGTTTATTAACATTAAGGTAAGTACTTATCTGGATGTAAAAGGAATGAGATCACTATTTTTACCATTTCTTTGATGGGATGATTTGGCTAACGAGCACTTAGAACAGACTAATTACCTGATGTTTACCAATAGGCGCCACTGATAGGCAAGCAAAAGCAATATCAAAGAGTTACTAGAGCGTTGCTAGATTTGGCCTCCAGTAACCTCATTTGGACAATAAAAGACATCGTAAGCTTTATTTCACGCTGGTTTTCTGCAAAACCGTGCTATAACTCCAACCGATTCGGCCAATTCTTATTTATAACTTAAATAACATTCTATTAGATGTTCTTCAAATAAGAATGAAAATAAGGTGGCGCCTACCATATTTTATGAAATCAAAATTTATACGAAAAGTGAGAAGGTCAGAGAAGACAATCTCAAGACATTTTGGAGGTATGAAAGAACAGGGTGGAATGTTCCTCATACTCGATTGAAAAGGGAGGATCCTCCAGACGGATCAACCAGACGCGTGTTGTCGGAATTTTGTATCGGTTCTAATTGCGTTGAGAACTCTCATACCGCGATGTAGAATCTTGCACGTGATTGGTACTGGTGTTATTGTTGTGCGATAGATGTCTACAACATCATTTGCATAATTAAAATATATTTACTGATACCCAAAATAAAACACAATATGTAAATTATACTTTTAATACTGTTAAAATTCAACAATACGAAACATAAGTAATAAAGACTATACACACGAGAAACTTATCTATAACAAACTATAATCTTAATTACAAAGGAGAAAGTAAGAAATATGAACTTAATGTTACAATATCAGAATATTTACAAGTAGGTAAATGCAACATCGTAAGTATAATAATATAAAAGTCATTTTGGATACAAAAAAATATTTAATACAAATTGTAAAGTTTTCATCTCAACATTTTTAGGATAATCTTTAAATTCATTTAAATATTTAATGAATAGATTAATGGATATAAAGAATGCAGGCATGTCTACGATCCGCATCCTTTGCCGGCGCACTTTGCGTGCATATATCTATCAAGTGCATCTATCTAACAGCGACCTATATACAACTACATGCTGAAGTAGTATTCAAAAATTTCCTCGAGAACACCAGTCATGAAACGTCTAGAACAATATGGCAAAACTACATTTAATAAATAAGTATAGTGAGAAATCTAGTCCTTATTAAGTACACAATAACTAAACGGAGATCTAACTTGTCATGTCCACTCAACACATTATATTTCTACGGCGTCAGGAAACACGTGGTCGAGGTACGCCTGGTGACCGTAACTTTGCAATGGCCTGGGTCTCTCCTTCTTCGTACTCAAAGTTACGTTCCCAGTGCTGCACTTGTTGAACCTCGAAGCTATTTCCCTGACCTTCCCCGGTCGAGGCCGAAACTCGTCTTCATTGTCATGTTTTACACTCCCTTCTATGAAATCTTCAAAAGACCGCTCCTTCTCTTTTGTGCTTTTCCAGCTGCGATTCGAACTTCTTCTATTATTCTGAAAATCTTTTTCAAAGCCGTCCTGTTTCTTTCTTTCATTATCTTTCCTTCCAGAATTATTCCTCTCGTACATGCGAGAATAATTTTTGGTATCTTTGTGTTCGTTGTATTTCTGTGCATTTTGATTCATCGTATCTGTACTTCTAACTTTACCAAAGTAAGGGTCTTTAGAGTACTCTATATCTGTATTTGTTTTGCAAACATAATTTTTAGTATTCCTATCATTACTTTTATTGGATCTTCTTGCTTTTGGCGGTCCTGGTTTGAATGTGGAGAATTTATCATAATCGTTATTGTTAATTTCACTGGTGATGCTATGGGGATTAAAGGCGTGAGTTCTTTGGTGGGTTAGCGGCTTCGATAAGGACAAATATTTAGGCGGCTCTCCGTGCTTATTAATCGTTATTTCGTACTGAATGTGCGGATCTAATACCGCATATACATTCTCTTTGGCTTCTCTCTCCAGCGACGATAAAGCTGCCTGTAAAAATGAGAAGAGATTTTTTGGTTAGTACATTGACCAAACGGCATTTCAAGTAGACAAGACTGTTTTTCTATGAGACATTGCCTTCATTCCCTTTATTATTTTATCAATATTTCTGATATATATGTAATCTGATATTTATGTAAATAGGACTCATCATCACAATCACCTTACGCCCATTTTAATGCAATGTGCAGTTTATACTCAACGTATTGAGATGCCTTTTTGTAGTTATCCATGCAAATTTAGGGAGTAAACAGTGTTGTAGTGAAAAGGATGAATTCAATGCTTTTTGTTAATAAAACCTACACCTTGTGCGTAAATTAATATTAGTTCTGTAATAAGATTTGTAGAGTATCTGTAGGTAATGATTTTTTTTCTGTCAAACAGTGACTACAAAAATTTTAGTTCAAAAAATCTGATTAATTTCAGAGTTTATAAGGATTGCTGTTTCATTTAGTATTTTGAAATACATGAGTTTTATTATATGTTTTTGTGTAATTTTGTCAGTATTTTAATGTTTTGGGAGTAGAATGTATGAAACGACATGGTTACCTCCAGCAGAATTGATTGGTGCGTGACAAGCAATATCAAACTTTATCGTGCTGTATTAGGGTATGTTCACACCAAGTAGAATAATTATTTTGACCACGAGACGGATGGTGATGACAGATTATGGGATACAGGGTGTCCAGACTTGGTAAGGAAACTTATTTTATTTAAGTCAAATTAACAAGTGATAATGGAGCCGAAGAAATGAACAAAACATTGCCCGGTAGTTTTTGCAATGTTTTCCTGAGAGACTGAACCAGAAGTCGTTGAACAAGTAAAATATATTCATTTAAAATTAATATTTCCTCTTTCTCTAACATAAGGTTATAGAGAAACTACTTGGTGTGAATAGAAACTTGTTTTCACACACACACACATCACCTCACAAACGGTCCATAACCAATAATATTTTGTCGAGGAGATTATTTTACCTATACAGTAGATGTCTTACTTTTCCTACAGAAAATATAATAAATAAATAATGTAGACATGTCCACTGGCTTCGAATCAATGTTACAAACTTTTTACACTAAGACCACATTTACGTAGATAATGTTTCACGGCGCGTCTATCGTTCGTCGTACATTGCTGGCATATTTGCGTTTGCGCGGGTAATGACGCAGCTTACTGCTGCAATGAATGGCGAACTGCCCAACGTGTCTTTGTAAATGGGGCCCAAGATAAAAGAACTAAAAAATTTCATAATGAGAAGAGAATTTTCAGCCGAAAATTGCCGTTTTGTGTGCGGGGATAGTCATCAAATGACTTCTCAGGGAAAGTCAGACTTACTGACTAAAATCCCTGTACCTTCTCCTGCTTTAGGTCGAGGCCGTGGTACCTGATTGCGCTAGCCTTACAACCCCTATATGACAAAAGTGACTGTAGGTATAAGAATTCATCAGCCAGTGGACATGAGTAGTGTTAGTATGTGCGTCACACCTGTGCGCGGGGGTCACACGGTGGTGGGGGGCTGCAGCACGACGGCGGCGCGGCGCACCTGCTGCGCGCCCGGCGAGTACCGCGCGCCGCCCGCGCCCGCGCCCGCCCCGCCGCCGCCTGCGATGCCGGCCACCGAGCCCACGCCACCGACCATCGCCGGCCGTGGCGGCTCGCGCGGCGTGTATACTGCGTCTGCTGGCAAAGCTGCTTTTTCGCTGTGGATTTAAATTTAGAATTTCTTAAGTAACTTTTTTAATTTTTGAGATGTAGGTAAATGTTTTTTGAGTTTTTTTTCTTTACTGATCGAAGGTTTGAATCTGTGAAAACTATTTCAGTGACCTTAAGATACATATGTATCATAAGTGTGTAATACTACACACTTGAACAGAACAGAACTAGAACAGAAATTTTAGTTCTTGAGGCTTTTTCTTAAGTATATATTTACTATATCAAAAAACACTGTTCTCATTAGAATATTCAATATAGTACGGTACTCACCTATCTAAATCTTCAGTCTTATATTCGACGCTTTCTGCAAAGTGAATGAGAAAAAAATATTACAATAAGGTTCACCTTTATAAAACACAAATTGGAACGACAATGCATAAGAACCGAACTGAGGTCAAAATTATAAAGGCACATGTCCACTTACCCCTTCGTCTCCGACACCGGATGATGAGACACAGCACTATGACCAACAGAGCTGCAATTACAAGCGCGGCCGCGATCAGCGGAGCCACGTGTGCAGTCTCTGTTAGCGAAAAATTATCTGCGTGAACAAAATTATTGGAGGGTTATAAACATGCAGTTTACAGGCAAACACAGGGTAATGGTGAAGCCAAAATATTTGTCAATACATTTTTGGCTTCTAAGAAGGGAAATGGTGAAGCCAAAATATTTGTCAATACATTTTTGGCTTCTAAGAATGAGAATGGGTAGGTAAGCTTGAAAAAAGTAGGTAAGTCCGTTGTGCAACTGAATGAATAACTTTTCTATACAAGACAGTGAACATTAATAATTATGAATGTAATGAGTGACGAGTTATTATAACTGTATTTTAAAAGTGTCTTCTAATGCAATGTAATAATAACGAAAGCGAACTTTGGTACGTCAGATGTTAATGGAGTCTTCGTTTCGACCAGTCAATCTTCAGGAACATTCAGGTAGTTTCTAATTATTGGAATTGTATGTTGTGTATGTTTTGTTTAATAATTGGGTTTAGAGGGGAGTAACAGCCACTAACATACTCATGCTGTCATGCATCTGATTATAGTACTTAACATTTCTTTGAAATGCATAAAATATTTTTGTATTAAGTAATAATGATCTCATTTTTGTAAAAGAAAAACTTAGAAAGAACTATTTTCTTCATTAAAGATAATTTAATGGCAAAATATAACTTTTAACAGAAAGACTTCACGACGATCTGGAAACCCACGAAGACAAGTGCAAGTACTAACGCATACAAGTATAAGATTTTTATAAGATATCACCATTTCAAGGTCATTGATATTGGTGGATAAAACCGAAAAAAAAAAACAAAATAACCAACTTACCATGAACAGTGAGAGACACAGCATGAGAGGAGAAGCCTCTCTCATTCTCGACGTGCAGGACGTAGACTCTTGCGTCCGCCACCCCGGTGTTGGAGATCAGGAGAGTGTAGCGGTAGCAGCCCCCGTCCGTCGCAGGCTCAATGGTTCGGTAGCGTCCTGGTCGGTAAATAAGATTCGAGTCAGTGTTTAGTCTTTAACTGCCGACGAAAACTGTTGAAGCATATGCATGGGTTCGAATCTTGACAATTACCAATGTGCCTTTGCCAAATTATATGTACTTTCTATGTTGTTTTCAAAACAAAAACATCGTGAGGAAACCTAGACTTATGATTTTTTATTATAAATTTGAAACCTTGAGCAAGCGTTTTAATTAATGCTCAAACCTTCTCCGTGTGAGAAAAGACCTTTGATTAGCAGTAGGCACTTATGACAAATGTACACAAATACACACCAATTTGTGATGGCACATCAAGGCGGAGACTGCCCCAGAGCCAGGCGGCCCGGCGCGGTGGCGGGTCAGCACAGACGGTGGCAGCCACCCGAGCCTCGTGCCCGCTCCATGCGTGCGCTGCGCCGGTGTCTGCCCCCACTGGTGGACCCAGCACATTCAGAGTAACTGCTTCAGATTGGTGGCTCCTGAAAAAAAATATGGAACTCCAATTTATCAGCTTCCATTTTTTTAGGGATAACAACTCAGTCACATTTAATTATACATTTACCAGTCTCTACATATTCTATCAGTTTCCTACTATTACAAACTTAATCAGCAAAGATGTACCGGTGATATCAAAGCCTTTTTAGGGGGAGTGTCAGGTTCTTACTCATTAAAATCCACCTCGTTCCCTTTCCTGCTCCAAATACCTGGACCGCCGTACATAAACTTGCCCGTGCACGTGCATTTATAACCCCGGCAATTTTAGACCCTTAAGTTTTCTAAATATTCATAAAAAGTTTCTATAGGATTTCTCTGTCTTCAAATACAATTCTCACGTAATTTTACGATTATTAGAGATATTTTACCTGTCTTCTAGTCCTATCTGATTGGTGGCCACGCAGGTGTAGCGGCCATGTTGGTCATATGACACGTTATGCAGTTGAAGTTGTGGTGTCATGGAGATCGGGTACGCGCCATCTTGAAGAGAGTTTATGCGAGCTGAAGATGCAGGGCTGAAATGGACAAGAACGTGGGTAAGCTATGTTGGTAATAAGACTAGTAAGTAAACTACAGTTTTCAATTTATTATATTGGTTCGGTACATTTTTGTTGGACTATAGAAGGATGGTGTTGTGATCAGAGATTTTAATATATTCCAAACAATTTTTGTTTATTGGAAATGGAACATGTGCGGAATATGATAAATAAGAGTCCTGCTGTGACTTGAAACTAGTGCAAATTTCTCAGTTAATTCACGTACTTCAGTTACTTTATTTTAATATTTTTAGTACGTCTCACGATAGTTGCTATTAAAAAAAAACCAAAATAATTTTGTCGCCAGTTGGAAAAGATAAAGATATTTTGAACTGAAAGAAGGGTGACTTTTCTTCCAGACGAACTTTTCTTCTATCTTGAATTCCAGACTATTCAAAAATGGAACAGGAAAGTATAAAACACCCTACCTATGATACCAGGTGTACGACGGAGGAGGATTGCCCTCAGCCTTGCACTCCAGCGTAACTTGAGAGAACAGATTCGCTTCTACCACCGTGTCGGGCCCAACCCAGGACACTCGAGGAGGATCTGTAAAAATAATTAATTAAGATTAATGTAAAATAATTGGCGGAAGTCTTCTGACTTCTCATAAAAAGGGTTTTTTGTGAAGAGAAAGTCATCAAATGACTTCTTCCACCCTGGGTGGAAGAAGTCATTTGAGGGCGAGAGGAAGTGTCAGCCTCTCACTGACTAAAAACCCGTGTTACCCCATTAGCTCTAGGCCGAAGCCTAGGGGCGTGAATAGGAGGATAGCCCTTTTATACGCTGCACCTCCTTTTTTGAGAGCATAACTGCTTTACAGAAAGAGGAGACACCTTCTCAGATCCTCTTGATCGGCACCATGGTCTCCACTAAGGCTAGAGGCAAGAGAGGTTAAGTTTAAGAAGTATTTATATTTATAGCACTTACATTTAATATCAATTTCAATCTTCACTGAATCCGAAGTTCCTAGCGAGTTCCTTGCTTGACAGCCGTAGATACCTGAAAACGGGAAAACATTTGTAAAAAACACTATTATCTTTTATTTAGCAGTCACTAAGAATTAAAATTCTTTGCCAATGTCTGTGCTTCTCATAAAATGTCTTCAATGACCTAGTACAAAGGCTGCTTACAAATAGGCATCCTCCATCTTAAGCCGCATCTTCGCTTACTATCATCAGACCTGATAGTAGCCAATTATAAAATAAAATAAAAATTTATTTAACGTAGTTGAAATTAAGGATAAAGAATGTGTTAGAATCTAAGGCAGCATGCGACACGATTTAAAATTTTTTTGATTTCCTATTCGTGATACCAATTAAATCGTTCCATTTTAATCAAATATTCGGGAATTATAATTAAAAAATTCAAATACAAAATTAAATGACTTACCAGAATGATTCCTAGACACAGGTGCTAGTATTAGCTTAGCTCCATTCGTAGCAATGACTTGTCCATTCTTGGTCCACCACACGTAAGGACTTGGGTTACCATCAGCTCGGCACTCCAGAGTGAGGGCGCTGGAACCTTCTTCCAAGTTCGCTAGCGTACTGGCATCTCCACCTATTATGGAAACTACTGGAACAACTGGAATAAGATAAGATTCTGTTTAGAAGTGGAAATCTCACTAAATAATACATTGGTAATAAGTATCAAGTAATTTACTGAGTTTTTTTTTAATGTAACAAGTCGAGAAACAAGCTGATGGGTTCCCTGATTTTAAGGAATCAGGGTAAGTTAGTTAGTTTCAAGTATGTTTCTTGCCTTTTGTGAGTAGTTAGGGAGTTCAGGAAAGCGGTTTCGATAGTTGAGGATGAGAGGAAGACTAGGATTTTGTCTTTGTTTTTGTCAGTGTTGCTTCACACTCGTATTCTGTGAGATTGTGGCAAGTATGGCTCTCCTATATTAAGTAGGTTAAGTAATAACTTTTTTTTCAAGAATATTGCCTAATGCGATTTAATTTTTAAACGAATTAAAAAAAACCAGCATTACCAAACATTACTTATATTGTAATTTGCAGTAAGAATTTATAATTAAGGCTGTGTGACAATGCGACAACTTGATCGTTAAGACCACTCCAAAATTATAACAGCTCTTAGAGCGCGTTCAATATTTTATGACGTTTGGCTTTTTGATTGGCTTGCTTCAAATTAGTCAACCAATCAGAGGACGCAACGCGGTAACGTTTAGATTACGTTAATGCGAAGTAAAATCTCTCTATTTTAACTAAGTTCTTTATAAATTCCATTTCACCATGTCAATCTAAAAGACTATTTCCTTATTCTTTTCAAGGCAGCTCCCAACTAATGCATATTGCAATTTATCTGCGAATCTGTCTTCCAGCCACATGCAAACAGCGACGTAAATAAAGTCGTGTCTTCGGTAGCTAGGACCAAGTCACTCTCAACTGATATTTACGAGATGTGAGTTTACTTCGAAACTCCGAGTAGCTAGATAGGAGTATTTATATAGTAGTAGATTGAAATACTTAATGAGGAAAGTCTCTTGAAATTAAGTAGTTTTTTTCAAGAGAGCTTCGAGTGGATTTTTAGTCTTTTTAAGTTTAGTTTTTGGTTTTTTAACGCTTGTGTTAAAAAAGATTAATAATGATGTAGCAGTTATTTTTCTTTCTCTAATTTAAGAAGCTCAGTGACATTAATGTTCAGAATGACTACTTTTGTAAAATTTTCTCTTTTCATTAATGTTACAGTATTTTTTTTTGCACCTAACACTTATATTCCATTTTTGCGTTTTACAAAAATATATTCCAGAAACCTATAACTTCTCTACAGATCTGTATGCAAAGCAAAGTTAAAACTTGGTCCTGATACAGATGGCGATATTACGGGTAATCTATGCTAATCCGATCCAAACTTCAATCGGAGTCAAATCTCACGATACCTCTCGCGATCGCTTCTTCAAAATGCTATTTGCACGTGATCGGCAGCAAATATGACACAATTCATTTTTGGTATAATATTTTTAGATTTAGATAAGTAAGGCTTTAAGATTGATTTTAAAGAATCCATGGCAACATCATTATTGAAAATATGTTGCGCAGGTTATTTATCCGCATGGAACAACTCATTGTGTGAACCACAACTTGTTGTTTCGGGTCTGACTGTCATGTGTATAAATTCGTGTGTATAAATACACTCACGACACAGAAAAAAGCCTAGTGTGAGGCAACATTTCAAATCATAGAAAAAAATGCTCTGAAATTGTAGGCTTAATATGAGGTGTTTAACGAAAATCACCGGTCAACACGATCTGAACTTTAAATCGATTCTGTTTGACAGGTTTAGTGATAACCGCATTCAAATATTCAACCTATACCCCCTATTACACAAGTGCAGATAGTCAATACCAACACAAAGGCACGGGACACATCTATTAATGTAGGTAAGTAGATGCTAACATTCCGATAAAGGATCTATTTATGAGTCCAAATGGTTTTCTGACTAAAACTGGTCACTAATTGCTTATTGATTCCGTTCTATTCTCTGTGCTTGGAACGTCCTCTGAACATAAATGGAACAAGTGGCTATTTAGATATGGATATGTAAAAACATTAACGTTTCATTTTTGGTCAAAACTATGCGTTTATGACTATACAGAGAGTATTGAAGAAATGAAGAGAGTTTTCATAGAATATATAAAACTTTTGTTTTTATTATAACTTTCATGGGACATTCTAATTTAATTATTATGTTTTCGGCTTACTCTCGTAATAATATACGTGAGTAAGCCGAAAACATTATAATTAATATAAACCTTTGTTCAACTGGAGTATGAATATAAAATGTGGGAGATACAGAGCGTCATGCTTCGTCACAAATGGGCCGGCTCCATATTTATTAACGATACCACAGCCTTTTAGAGGACAGGGCATGAAGCAACATGTGTTTCGCTGGATGAGTGAGGATACTGAATACCTAATTTTTCTCCTTATCCCCTACATCCTTAAAACTTGGTAACGCACTGCTAACTCTTCAAAGTTTCGGAGTCTAAAGGGGCCGATTGCTTACCATCAGGTCTGCTGTGTTGGTCTTTTTGTTTGTCGACCAATTCTTTATTAAGTATTGTGTTCCTCATTGATCTTACGATGCGTTGTCCTAGAAGGCAGGCATTTTTTAGTAAGTCCGTGTCAGTTCCCTGATTGGAGTGCCTACGAGCATTATTTTCATAAGAATGTTTGTCATGACTTCCACGTGGACTATAGAGATATCAATTTTAAAAAGTATCAGGTTTTATTAAAATACTCACAAGTCACATCCAGCATGGTATAAGAGTCCCTGTAGTAAGGAGATGGGTAAGAGGGATGATGAGCTCTGCAAGCCAGCTGGCGACCATGGGCTGACCTTGTAGCTCCCAACTCCAGTACTGACCGAGCTGCCCACACTCGTGGTCTCTCTACTTCAGAAGCATTCGTCTGCGACCATGCTGTTAGACGTTCTTTTTCTGGAAATTATAGAATGAAATTATGTTTTAGATATACAAGAACCTCATCAATTGAATGGTTTTAAAGTAATACAACGATGTATAGATCTAATATAGTTTGCGAACAAATAGTTAGTGCCTGTACTTAGGTAATAATGCTAATAATCAAATGGCTGTTCTATTTTTGTAAAGTGTTAACTCAAAAACGATAAGGTTCAAGCATTAATCACAACGACTGTTTAAGTTGGATGGGCGATTTCAAAATTTATAATAAAAAAGTATAAGTCCAGGTTTATTAGCGATGTTTTGCTACATCATAATATGTCTGTGGTGTCTTAAATAAGTTAGAAAGAACATATGATTCGGAAAAAGTGTCTTTAAGTCATTTGCCAGGTTTTGAATCCTTCTAATGCAAAAGAAGCAGGCGCCATAACCTTCGGGCACCGCGTAGCGCGATGTTACTATCATCAATCAAAAATAGACCATATTATTTACCCTTAACTTTTTTTTAATTATATTCAACCACTATTTAGACCACATATGTATACTTTTAGATAGACTATTCTGGAAAAGGCTACAAAATATAATGGTTAGTCAAACAAACAATATTAGTTGTAAGTATGGAAAAAGTGTCGACAAAAAGATGAATGATTACTTCGCACGCTATGCTGAGTATAAATTATCAATTATTATATAGTATAATTTAATGTAAGAAGGTACGATAGGTACTTAAATATGTTTGATTTTACTTATATTGAAAGTATTGAAACTAGAAATGTGTTTTTATTTACATATTCTTGATTTGTTTTTGTTACACTTGTATATTATTATATCAAGCTTTTAATGAAATACAATATATTAAGAATAAGGTAAAATTAAATGTTTATAAAAAATTAGAATTTCTTTTCTTTTTGTTCTACAATAGGACATAATTCAAATTAACGAACATTTTTTATATATTTTTTATACATTTGTTTGTTTAATCTAGATTTTTTTTTGTGCTTTCATACTATTTAAAAATTATATTCATTTTTATATTTCTTTTTATTATTTATTTACATCTCGATCAATATCATTACACTTTGACTTACATATGTAAAGAAAAAAACGTAATGTAATTTCATTTTTTTCCTGGCTGGAATGTCATTTGAAAATGTAATAACAAATATTTTAACATTTTTAAGACGTAAAAATGTAATTATTTTTTACAAATGTACCTATGTGTTGAATGGTGTTGAATATTAAAAATGTCTATTTGATAGATTTCAATGTGTTTAGAAACACAAAGTATTGACAGCTGTCTAATTGGATTTTAAAATCGTGTGATCGATTGTATGTATGTTTGACCTTTAGTCGAACTTTTAGTTGTTTTGCAAGTAGATATATGTTCTGCAGAGTCAGAATTTAGTAATAAAATGATAGTTCTGCATGTCATTAAGTCAACCACGAAATAAAAGTTTTAATATCATTACTGAGCGTGGGTCGAATGCAAAAGGGAGGTGGGAGGGATTGGGCCTCCGGTAACCTCACTCACACGGCGAAACACAACGCTGTGGGTTGTTTCACGCCGGTATTCTGTGAGGCCGTGGTATCACTCCGGTCGAGCCGACCCATTCGTGCCGAAGCTCGGCTCTCCCACTCTTGAATTTCGCGTTTTTTCTCCTCATGCGTGAGAAGCATTATAACATATGTATATTTAATAAATTTCTAACCTCTTCCTATTTAAACAAGATAATCAAACAATAAACTTATAAAAAAGCCACAATCATTCAACCGATTTATTATTCTATTACCTTACCCTACATTTATAGAGAGCCAATCAATTTTACAACTTCAATCTCAGACCATTACATGATAGACCTCATTACAGATAAATAGATGCGTCATTATGTAATTACAGGTTTACTACGATTGCCTTGTTCATCAAGTGGATGGCCGGACAAGTTGTTTGAATTTGGTTCCCTTATCGAGTACAGTATTATTGTTGATTTTACTACTGAGACTGCATGGTTGGCGCAGTGGCTGGGCAACTGGGTGCCTAGCAACGTGTCTCTGGCACGATTCCCGCACGGAACATCACTTTGTGTGATCCACAAATTTTTGTGCCGGATCTGGGTGTGATGGGAGCACTACTAAGCAAAGGACTCTTCTCACGCAGAAAAGCTTTGAGCATTAATAATCATACTTGGTCGAGGAGGATTGAAAATTGTAGGTACGTCTACGTATGTTGGTGTTGTTTGAAGATTTTTTGGAAGTGTGTAGCTCAGAAAATGTCTTATTGACGTACAAGATATCGAACTCGCGTTCTCATGCATAAGAACCGGACGCCTTAAACTCTGAGCCATCACTATAAATTTTTTTAATCCTCTTTTTAATTACACATATAACTTAAACAAAAGTTGAAAAAAAGGTGTTCCATACTAATCTAATCTCTTTCTATGCCATTGTTAAATGTATGTGTATAGGTAGGTATGTCATTATGTAATTACAAGTATAATACAACGATAGCCAAGACCGATGCAGTGTGCCCCCGACGTCGATCACTGACAGTGAAACCTCTTCTAAAATGCATGGCGCTTTGTAGGTCGTGGCTTTAGTTCAAACACATGACATGGCATTTGGAATTTTATATGAACGTATCGGTTTAATTAAGTGCTGGATTACTGGTTGTTTTGTTCGTTCACCCGTTTTTGTTTGCTTAAAAAGGCTTTTAAATGTTTGCATGGAAGGATTAATGTAAAAGATCGTGTTCTGTTTTAAGGGTTTTAGCTGACAATCGTTTTCTTATTTTTTGTTATTTTTTTATATCGTAATTTAGAAAATAAATTAGTTATTTTTTATTTTATTTCAATTTTATTGTACACTTCACTACCCGAGCCCAAGTTTCTTTTATTCATTTCCATTCACAGGATTGCGCATTGTAATCACAACATTATTTTATTGCATATACTTAATATGTTTCTGCTTAGTGTAAGTGTACAATAAGGAATGTATATATAAACAACTAAATAAATAAAATCGACATCAGTTTTTTTATGCGTAGTTCTAGTCACTTACTTTTATCTTCAAGCATTATTTTTTTGGCTTTCAGCTGTATGTCATGACTAAATCTCCGTCTTATCTTCATTAATATGCAATAGTGGACTCTGTGAGAAGGTAAGAAGGTATAAAATTGTTGTACTCACCCAAATACCACTCGATGTACGCAGGAGGATTTCCATATCTGGCTTCGCAGACCACGGTGGCTCTGTTCCCAGCTGGTACCGTGATGTTCTGGCCTGGCATTACGTGGGAACCATTGAACAGGATCCGAGGAGACTGCGGTGGTACCCTGACGGCTAAAGCTGCTGGCGGACTAGAGAGGGCATCCTGGGAATGACATACAGGATAAATGAGAATAAGTAGATAAGTATAAATTTTACTCCGCAGATTAGTTATAATTTTTTTAGAGCCATGCTTCACGAATGTATTGGTTTCACTGGAGTGATATCACGGCGCCACAAAAAAATGGCGTGAAACAACAGAAGTGTTATGTTTTACCGTGTGAGTGAATTTACCGGAGGCCCAATCTTTCCCCTCTTCCAACCCCAAAATTCCCAAAACTATAACTCGTACCAAAACGTAACTCTTTCCATGTCCATGAGATGCGCTGATTGCTTACCATCAGGTAATACGACTACTCACTTGCCGTCCTTTTTAAATTTTTAACAAAGACAATATTGTGCCTTTATATAGTAGGTACCTAAAATATATAGCATTATCGCAATATATTAGTTTTGCCAAAAATACCAACGTCCGCTATTTAAAACGTATTTCAAGTAAAAGAAGAAATACTGCCTCAGTTCAACGGGTCTAATTTCTTTAAAGTTTTCTCAAAGTTCAATTGAACCAGGCTATCTATCCTAGCTAGAAATTTTCTGTTCAAGAAAAATAGGGTAGGTAGCAAATATTTTTAAAAAGAAATTTCTTGCTATCAGTATGTGGTACCACAATATAAGCAAACTTACTTACTACTTAAATTATTAGCATATCATTCCCAGACCACACGGCAATCAGCCAAGTGTGGTTGCAAGGGCAATAATGTAACACAGCCTTGACCCTAAACAGGAGAAGAAGTCGGTAAGAGTCCGACACTCGTTTTCGTCCCACTCCATTCCAGAAAAGACATTTGATCATTTCCCTATCTCAAAAACGGACCATTCAGCGACTCAGTGATTTAAATTCAAAGCTTCATATATAAATTATACTTTCAGTCTTCCAGATAAATTAATGTCTTTTCATTTTTGAGCTATATTTGAAATAAGTGTAGCATAATATTTTTTTATTTATTTACGTTACTGTATAACTTTTAGGCTGTTTAGCAAAAAAAATCATGAACGAATAACAAATTAATATAATTTTATAAGCTTGTAGAATAAATAAATGAATATTCTTCATATTGTTACCTGGACGTCGTAGTTGCTGGCTGTAACTTGACACTGCCACTGTCCATCATCCAGCTGCAGTGTAGCGGCTCGCACCCAAAGCGAGCAGTCCCCCCCAACTGGACTGTTCTCATTGGCCCATTCATACTTTCCTCTATATATTCCAACTGGCTGTAACAAGACAAAAATATTTTTATTAGCACCACAGTAATAATCTCTAAAGAAAGCAATAAAGAAGAACGAATCATCATTTCTGGAAATTTCTGACATGAAGTCATTTGAAAAAGGAGTCCAATAATTAAATTTACACCACCAATCTTATAAGTCTCATTTTATATATGACTTGTATATCCCAATATTCCGGATACGCTATCAGGTTTCGTAATAAGAATCAGGAACTGAGAATTTCGATAACAGAAAATCCCAATAAGTAATTCTTTGCACGTATCGGGATCTAACATCCCCCATCTCAGCAGTTTCACTAGGTCGTACCTAAGTGGGTGCGAAACAGTTTATAATTCCAAAAACTAATATCCATTTAATACGTTTGACGTAAAAAATTAATAACGGAAAACGATCAAAGTTTCTTAAGGATGAAAAGCGCTGAAACTTTATCGTTTATATTAGTAGCGAGTCTATTTGGGAAGAGTTTGGGAAGGCGCAGCGGTGAGAGCCGGCAATTGTTTTCCCGAGTTCCAGTTGTCATACGAATATTTTCGTTTGAACCGAAATTTCGATTGGAATGAACGAACGTAGAGCGCAATGCCTCCAGCGGTTACAGAGCAGAATAGGACTGAATTTCGGACAATATCTTTAAATTATTTCTTCTGTTGTTTAAAAAGCAAAAGTACGTATTAGTTTTTCTTATTGCAAGCTACTTTGGCGTGATTTCGTCCTATTTGTCTCAGTATTATGTTTAACAGCCTAAAGGCATTCATCCTCAATAAAGGGACTATCAAGCACAAAAAAAATGTCACGGAAATCTATAAACCTCCGCGTAGTGTTCTATGTAAGTAAGTACTTGCATGAAAAAAAAAACAAATCTACAATATTCTAACCGGATTAAAAACCTCTTTTTCGGGAAGTCGGTAAGATAATTACATCATTTTTGATGTTCAATTAAATAAATTGAACCAGTCACTAGGGTGACTCGAAAAACTTTCGTAAAATGAAGGTACGAAATCAACGTCGACGGAAAACATTGCGAAAACTATATTAATAGACGAAAGTAATAACAAGTTATTAGAAATGTCGAAATCCAATTATTTTTAGACCCAACTTTCATAATTGTTCAAGGAGATTATGTTGATTAGTTTAGGTCAAATTTAGTGCTGTCTTACCTACCTATCAATAACTTCTAATATTTTATTGTGATAGTATCGTCATCATCATCATCATCATCAGCCTTTAAAAAGGCCACTTCTCACAAGGTTAAGGTTTGAACATTAATCACCACGCTACATCATTGCGGATTGACGATTCCAAACTTAAAATTAGAAATTATAAAGTCCAGGTTTACTTAAGATGTTTTCCTTCACCGTATGTATCAGCGGCGTGGTCAGCGGTGTTTGAAAGTACATATAAATTGGAAAGCCTCATTGGTACTTGCCAGGTTTCGAACCTTTCGGGCCACTAAAGTATTTTGTTTGATATTAATATGATATTATCATATTTCTCCCTTCATTTTTCTATGAGCAGGAAAAACCATCAAAAGACTTCTTTGACTCTGGCTGGAGCGACTATCAAAGTGTTACTGATTCAAAACTCCCTTGTTCCTTCTCCTGTCTCATGCCAAGGGCAGCGGTAAGTTATTACGTCTCTGGCTGATTCCCAAAGGTCTAAAAGGCCGGTAAAGTACTGCCACTTCTCTGAGTGGAATGGATGTCCATGCTTGATCCATCTGCTCCCTATTCCTATAAAATAGGGGAGCCATAATCCCCACACACTTGGTTGAGTCCTGTCTAAAATGTCCACCAAAGATTTGCTACTAGATCGTTGTTTAATATTCAGATAAGTACAGTATCGTGAGAAAGAAATAAAATAAAAATTATATACCTAACTAAATGGCCGATCAAAATTTAAAAGCTAATCAATTTATTTAAGTAGTTACGTATGTATAACAATACCAATTTTGTAGTTAAAGTTTAATGAGTTTCGTCGTAAATAGAAGTGAATTATTTAGAACCTATTATTATATTCGTTTATCCAATTACATATAAATATATATGTAATACATGTATCTAATATATTAATGTACCTATACTTATATTATAAAGAGGAATGATTGTATGTAAGGAGTATTCTTTGGAACCGCGAGTCGGATTTCCAAAATCCTTTACTACATAGCTACAATGATTTTGAGTGCTATAAGATTATACGATCTACGTATTTTAGTCAAGATATTCTTTGAAACACTTCTGTCTTTAAAATCCCGGCATAAATTCATGCATTCATGCAGCAACCTTTAATACGCCTGCAAAGCCGCTGGGGCGAAAGCTAGACTTATATGACTACAAGAAATTATTAGCCCATGTTCGTTTTTTTTTAGTATATAAAAACGTTGCCCCTATCTAAGACTTTCTCAGTCATATTTGCGGATGTAAGCGCAATAATATGCCGTGTCAAAGTCAAAGTCAAAATCATTTGTTCCAACTAAACCATAAATAGGTACTTTTGAAACGTCAAAATAGAATAGTAGTCTGTCAGTCTGTTCGTCAGTGAAGGTAGGTGCTCTAGCCAAATGTAGTCCCAGCCTGGAGTAGGAGAAGGAAGGAGCTGGTTTATAGTCAGTTAGAGTCGGACACTCCCTCTCATCCCTCAGAGGTCGAGCGAAAGAAATTAACGATAAGCCGCTATCAAAAAAAAAACTGCTAGTACTTTGTCCTGTGACGTAATAGGTGTGTTTACAAACATACTATGTACATATTCACATAAACAGATATGGAGACTAAAAAAATATTATCAGACTAGCTACTCTCGCGCGGTTTCACCCGCTACTCTCTACGGCTCTATTTAATCGTAGCGTGATGTTTTATAGCCTTTAGCACTCAGGAACACTGTAGCTATCTATCAGTGAAAGAATTTTGGCAATCCGACCAGCGGTTCCAACGATTACCCCCTACATACAAACTTACAAATCTTACCTTTTTATAATATTAGTATATAATATAAGATTTACCATTTTCAAAAATTCTGTACCTAATATCTACCAGCCATCGTCACGCAGATGTACAGGACCAATTTTTTTATTGACACACTTATAGTGTTCGATTATTAAATTAGTGTTAGTTAAAAAAGTGCTTGTACATTCCCCTACAAAGAAAACAAGACGTTATATATAATATAATAATGTGTATATTCAAAGTATTGATTTACAAACATGGTCTGTTGAGAGCCGGGCAATGAATGGAGATCTTTAATTCAAAATATAAAAACCAGGAAGTAAGGGGTATTGCGTGTGTAGGGATCGCTTTGTATTGGGATTATGGGATTAATAAATACTTCTTGCTCGAACGAAGTTGTAATGAGTTTTATAGTTGTGTGTAATATCGAAATATGTATAATCGATTTATTATCAAAGTATTAGGTTGTTGTTTATGTATTGTAGTCTAGATAGTGACCTACATACTAAAATTAGAATCTTTTTTAACACTTCGAAGTCATTCCTTTACATGAGGAGATAGAAAAGTACCAACTTTTTTCAATAAATAAAATGTGCAAATAATAGCCGTCGGAACTTATTATAGCCTTCATGTTCTTAATTTGACTGTTATCCTTACTTGTACCTAGGTATAGGCTATGGTGTTTCCGTAATATAAAATACATTAATGAACATGAATTTTACATTGGACAAAATAGGAAAAGAGAGAAATTACTATTTGTCGCATACTTATTAAACAAATTATTCACAGCTAGCTTTTGCCCGCGACTCCGTTCGCATGGAATAGTGACTTCCTGCAGTTTTTTGGTATAAAAACTCTAATCCTATGTCATTTCTGGACTTCCAAACTATGTCTGTACCAAATTTCACAGAAATCGGTTCAGTAGTTTGGGCGTGAAGACAAAACAGACAGATAGAGTTACTTTCGCATTTATAATATTATAGTATAGAAAATTATAGAATATTAGTATAGATAACAGCTATAAGTAAATGAAAACCGCAATAGTTATATCTATCCAAACTTCTTAAGTATCAAATCCTAATTAAAATCAACGCCAATAAGGTCAAATGCAAAATTCTTATCGAAAAATTGAAAAAAGAAAGCGTTTGGGCACAGTTCCAAATAATTGTACAATACACATACAGCCTATACAGCATTTATTGCCGTTTATAAACTGATTAACAACTTTTGCCAAGCCGTAGTAAAATTAAATCGATTATAATTTTTATTATTATCTTTCCCCTGTGACTTATAACGTATAACTTTTGTTCGCGACTTCGTTCGCGTGTAGACTTCGCGCTTATTTTTGGTATAAAAACTATCCTAGTACCTATGTCCTTTCTCTAGGTCGAAACTATATCTGTCTGTACCAAATTTCACAGTAATCGGTTCAGTAGTTTAGGCGTGAAGAAAAAACAGACAGACAGACAGGCAGGCAGACAGAGTTTTGTTTAGAAGTTTGGATAAAAAAGCTAGTTTTTATACGATACTTATATGCAAAAAAAAACAGCCAGTCATTACCCTTATTTACTGACCGCAATCAACATAATGTATTAACAATTTTATTATAAACTGCAACTTCATAATTAAATACTGTTTCAATATTAAGTACACTTAAAAATAAACAATTAAAATTAAACGTATCTTTTAAAATATTCCTTTATCCCGTCATTCACTGGAATTGAAATGTCAGTAACAGTAATCATTCATATTATAGTAAAATATCATTTAAAAACATCATGTATTTAATTAATTAATATCGTTAATTGATACATTCTTGGTTGTTGTTAAGGTAGGTAAGTAATTAAGGTTTATACTTTGCGTTCAATATTGTAGATGCATATTTCTCGTAAATTTTTGTTATGAAGATATTTATTCAAATATTCTTAACGTTGTACCTATTTAATTATTGTTAAGATTTAATCTCAGAAAAATCATTGTTGCACTTAGGTACAAATAAAGTGTTTAACTTACATAGCCACAGTCATAGCCACAGTCACAGATTTCGTA